GCTTAGCTCCCTCAATACCAGTCAAAGGCTCTCACAGCTTTACATACTACTCGGTATTCATTACACCCCTCTCATGCTCTGTCGCATGGGTCTCCTCCAGTCTCCCCTCTGTACTAGATGTGGTATTGCTCAGGGAGACCTTATTCATCTCCTATGGTGCTGTCTTAACCACTTGCCCTCCAGAGGATTGCCCCCCCCCCCCCCCCCCCCCCCCCCCCCCCGTTCCTGACCAGGCCATTTTTTGCATTACTTTAACTGACAATTGCGTGACACTGACACTGTACTAATGGCACTGACCAGGAAGGGGTTAACAATGAGGGGCGATCAAAGGGTTAACTATGTGTAGGGAGTGTTTTACTAAGGGGCGGTGTCTGTGTGTTTCAAGCAAACCAATTAATTTACACATATTGTGATTTTTGTTTTAGTAAAGACATGTAGCAGAATAAATTTATGACGAAATTTGATTTTTTTACCATTTATAGTGGATATGTTTTATAGCAAAAAGAAAAAAAAATTTTTTTTTTCAAAATTGTCGGTCTTTTTTGTTTATAGCACAAAAAATTAAAACCGCATAGGCAATCAAATACCACCAAAAGAAAGCTCTATTTGTGGGAAAAAAACGACATAAATTTAATTTGGGTGCAATGTTGCATGACCGCAAAATTGTCAGTTAAAATATCGCAACGCCGTATTGCAAAAAATGGCCTGGTCAGGAAAGGGGGGGGGGGGGGGGGGGGGGGAATCCTCTGAAGGGCAATTGGTTAATGTTTGTACTTATTTGTGTTTAGTGGATGTACCTCAATAAACTTTATTTCTGATTTAAAAAATAGGAAAAAAAAAAACCCCACACTTGAATTTGTATACAAAGTCCACACACATAATAGGAATACATTCAACAGCAAAACATGTACACAGATCACCGTGCCATGAAATTGTGAGCACAAGAAAGATGGGTAAGCAACGTCATAATTCTCGACGCGTTTCATGAAACTGCACTTCACCAGGAGATATTGTTGCTGATCGGAGATACACCAGCCAATAAAAACATAGATATAGAGGAAGAAAGTTCACCGGGACACTGGGTATAGCAACAAATACCCCATCACAAAGTCTGGCCAAGGAGCTGTGGAAAGGGGGGTGAACCACACCCCAGGGGCACAAAGCAGGAGGGCAAGAAATGCCTAGTTGTGTATCATGGGTTACATATAATTACATAGTTAGTCTGGCTGAAAAAAGACAAATGTCCATCCAGTTCAACCAATAAAAGAAAAAAAAGGTTGTAATCCTATACCCACAGTTGATGCAGAGGAAGGCAAAAAACCCAACAAATCATGATCCAATTTGTTCCTGCAGGGGAAAAAATTCCTTCGTGATTCCTCGAGAGGCAATCGGATATTCCCTGGATCAACTTTCCCTATAAATGTTATATCCAGTTATATTCTGTGTATCCAAGAAAGAATCCAGGACTTTCCTACACCAATCCACTGAGCTGGCCACAACCAACTCTTGAGGGAGTCTATTCCCCCTTATGTATTATACATGAAGATCATATCCCCGCTTATGTATTATACATGAAGATCATATCCCCCCCTTATGTATTATACATGGTGATCATATCCCACCCCCTTATGTATTCTACATGGAGATCAAATCCCCCCCCCCTTATGTATTATACATGGAGATCATATCCCCCCTTATGTATTATACATGGAGATCATATCCCCCTTATGTATTATACATGGAGATCATATCCCCCCTTCTGTATTATACATGGAGATCATATCCCCCCTTATGTATTATACATGGAGATCATATCCCCCCTTATGTATTATACATGGTGATCATATCCCCCCTTATGTATTATACATGGAGATCATATCCCCCCTTATGTATTATACATGGAGATCATATCCCCCCTTATGTATTATACATGGAGATCATATCCCCCCTTATGTATTATACATGGAGATCATATCCCCCCTTATGTATTATACATGGAGATCATATCCCCCCTTATGTATTATACATGGTGATCATATCCCCCCTTATGTATTATACATGGAGATCATATCCCCCTTATGTATTATACATGGTGATCATACCCCCCCTTAAGTATTATACATGGAGATCATATCCCCCTTATGTATTATACATGGAGATCATATCCCCCCCCCCCCCCTTATGTGTTATACATGGAGATCATATCCCCCCCTTATGTATTATACATGGAGATCATATCCTACTTATGTATTATACATGGAGATCATATCCCCCCTTATGTATTATACATGGAGATCATATCCCCCCTTATATATTATACATGGAGATCATATCCCCCTTTTTGTATTATACATGGAGATCATATCCCCCTTATGTATTATACATGGAGATCATATCCCCCCCTTATGTATTACACATGGAGATCATATCCCCCCTTATGTATTATACATGGAGATCATATCCCCCCCTTATGTATTATACATGGAGATCATATCCCCTCCCTTATGTGTTATACATGGAGATCATATCCCTCTTATGTATTATACATGTAGATCATATCCCCCTTATGTATTATACATGGAGATCATATCCCCTTTTTGTATTATACATGGAGATCATATCCCCCCTTATGTATTATACATGTAGATCATATCCCCTCTTATGTATTATACATGGAGATCATATGCCCCCCTTATGTATTATACATGGAGATCATACCCCCCCCCCCTTATGCATTATACATGGAGATCATATCCCCCCTTATGCATTATACATGGTGATCATATCCCCCCTTATGCATTATACATGGAGATCATATCCCCCCTTATGTATTATACATGGAGATCATATCCCCCCTTATGTATTATACATGGAGATCATATCCCCCCTTATGTATTATACATGGAGATCATATCCCCCTTATGTATTATACATGGTGATCATATCCCCCTTATGTATTATACATGGAGATCATATCCCCCCTTATGTATTATACATGGTGATCATATCCCCCTTATGTATTATACATGGAGATCATATCCCCCTTATGTATTATACATGGTGATCATATCCCCCCTTATGTATTATACATGGTGATCATATCCCCCCTTATGTATTATACATGGTGATCATATCCCCCCTTATGTATTATACATGGAGACCATATCCCCCTTATGTATTATACATGGAGATCATATCCCCCCTTAATCTCCTCTTCTCAAGAGAGAATACATTCAGTTCCTCTAATCTTTCCTCATAGCTGATCTTTGAGGTTTGGTTGTCCTTCTCTGTACTTTCTCCAGTTCCCCAACGTTCTTTTTGTGAATTGGTGCACAAAACTGAATTGCATATTCTAGATGAGGTAATGGGTCTGACATCAACACTGAGTCCACGCATTCGACGCTGACCAGAAAAGACAGCTCGTGTTTTTTTTATTAGAAGGTGTATATTCAGTCGAATAAAAGGCTACTAATGAAGGGAACTAAGTTTCATGAAACACGTTGAGAATTATGACGAATCGAAATGATTGAATGCGTCAACCGGAGCCAGACAAACTTTATTCGTGTATATCTTTGTTTTTATTGGATGATGTATACTCAAACATTTTGATTCATAATTCTCGATGCGTTTTGTGAAACATAGTTCTGTTCATCAGGATCCATTTATTCCAATATACATCATCCAAGAAAGCACATGTGCTCTTTTCTGGTCACTGGCGAAGGTGTTGATGTCAGACCTATGATACACAACCAGCTGTTTCTTGACCCCCTGATGTGTACCCCCAGGGCGTGATTCTCTGCCCTTTCCACAGCTCCTGGGTCAGAGTTTCTGACAGGTTATTTGTCGCTACACCCGTGGTCTGACAAACTTTCTTCCTGTATACTTTTGTTTTTATTGGATGGTGAATATTTGATCGGCAACATCTCCTGATGGAGTGAGGGTTCACGAAACGTGCAGTGAATTATGACATTGTTTAGCCATCTTTCTTGTGTTTACAATTTCATGGCACAGTGATCTTTGTACATGTTTTGCCGATGAATGTATTCCTATTATGTGTGTGGACTTTGCATACAAATTCAGATGGGTTTTAGTAATTTTTTCTATGTTCTGAAAAATTATTACAGGTACTTATATAGCGCCATCAATTTATGCAGCGCTTTACATATATATTGTACATTCACATCGGTCCCTAACCCTCAAGGGGCGTACAATCTAGGGTCCCTAACTCACATTCATACATACACATACTAGGGCCAATTTAGACAGGAGCCGATTAACCTACCAACATGTCTTTGGAGTAAAAATGATATGGTTTTAAATATTGGACTGTTTGCATGAAGTTCCACTTAAAAAGTCCAATGGACACTTTGTGTGTGTGGGAGACTCTACTAAGTTTTAGCCAAAAGTGGTTGTAAATCTCAGAATCAAAGAATATCACTCTATAGTGTGTACTTGTCTCAGTCCAGAGCACTGAGTGTCATTTCTGTCTGCTGCTTTGTTCCTCTGCTATCAGCATATATCACTTCTGATGAGTTTTCCTGACACCAAAAGAAAAATGGTGACAGGGGAGGGCACATTCTGTGATTGACAGCCTCAGCTCTGTTCCTGTGTGAAGGGGGGTGTGTCTCTTTCCTCCAATCAACTCTTAGAGCTCTCCGCCCCCTGCTTTTCAGAGCTAAGAGATCTTGTGTAAATTCTGCATTCTGAATGGATGTAGGGGAAAAACGGTTGCAGGTAGACAGGTACAACGTATGTGGAAGGATTTCTTTCATCTCTGGAGGCCAGTCACGTCACTGGCTATATGTAAGGGCTTACAACCACTCTACGTTCTACATTGACTGCAAACCTACGTCTAAAAATCTCATGAAACCATCCTTCTCACAAAAACACCCCCTGATGTAGCTTAGCCCACAAATGAAAGTTCGGTTTGAAAGATTTCTTCAATCTTCTTCTTTCACCTTGATCACCAGGTCTGGATACACCAAGTTGGTGTAGTTGGCCTGGTGAAATTTTTGATGTTCGATGAGCTGGCTTTCATAGAGGAAGGCGGTTCCACATTCGGTGCAATTAAACAGTTGCATCTGCCTGTGCTCTAGCATGTGCTTCTGACAGTCCTCCATGAGGCTGAAATATCGGCCGCATTGCGAGCAGACGTAATGACTGTTGTGGATTCTCTCATGGAGCCGAAGGGTGGACTTGTGCGCAAACTCCTTCCCGCAGACCAGACACACGTTGCGGTTGTCTATTTGGTGAAGCTTCTCGTGTTTGATGAGGCTGTGTTTGAGGCCAAATTGCTTCCCGCACTCCACGCACTCGTACTGCTTCTTCTTCAAATTCAACCCATAATGGTTGTTGAGACAAACCTGGGACGCGAACGTCTTTCCACAACCCGTGCAAGCAAAGGGCCGCTCTCCCGTGTGTCTCATGAAATGAAGGAGGAGAGCTTTCATTTTTGAGAATTTTTTGCCGCATTCAGAACAAGTGAGGTCTTTGTTGCTTTGGTGCACCCTTTGATAGTGACTGCTGAGACTGCCAAATCGCTTGAAAGTTCGTTCGCATTTGATGCAACGGAAGGGCCTCTCGTTGACCACCGTTTTTTTCTCCTTCAGGAAAGGCTTGAAAGGACATTGGTCGCCGGGGTCTCGAATCCTGTCCTCACCCTGGACAGCCTGCGATGGCTCACAAGACGATGGGTCAGACATTCTTCTGGTCACAGTCAGACCGGCCATGGTGAGGCGGATGGGAGTGGTGATCATTTTCAAGCGTTCGTAGAAGCGCTGAATATTATAACGTTGACCGAAGAAATTCTGGCTTGTAGGGCCGTCTATCAGAAACAAGAGCAAAGGTTACCAGTAATACAATGGGTAGGCTAGGTTCACATCTTCGTGTTCCTGCAGGACGCGTTTTACGTGGGCATCAGAGCCCATTCATTTGAATGGACTCACGTTCCCCGGGACACGCAGCGAAGAAGTCACTGCACTTCTTTGGAAAACGCAGCCCGCACGGGAACCTCAGTTCCCAGTACGGTTGCCATTTCCAGTGCGGGCGGCGTGCCATTAGAATTAATGGCACCCGCCCACAGGCCCGCATTCCTCTGTGCGGGTGGTGCAGCGGATCTTTGTGCGGATCTGCAGCAGCACCACCCGCACAGATGTGAACCAAGCCTAAGTGACCAAAGATCAGCAATTACCTAAAACACATTTGAGTTACTCATGAGAAGGGATGGTTTAGTACAAATGATTCAAACACAAGGCCTCTGGGCCGAATCCAGTCCACCAGGCCATTTCATGTAACCCTTGCATCTCTCCTGCATCTGCAGCACCCCCCTCGTCTCAGCCCCCAACAGTCAGCAGCAGAGAGGAGGACAGAACTCCTCCTCCAAAACCTGTGCTTTTCCATGCAGCTGTGGAGAGATTCGCCTCCTTTTTGGAAAGTAGACCGTCCAAGGTGCTTAGTAAGAGGCATGGCGAGTTTTTTGAAGTTGTAATTTTTTGAAGAAATTAAGAATTTAAATTAAAAAAAAAATGTTCACAATTTTTTTTAAATACGGTCACCACTGCAGTAGTGTCATCACATAACAGGTGTGAAAGTGATTAGGGACACTGATTGGTGACAGTATGTAAAAAAAAAGAATAATAATTAGGGATGCATCGAAATTTCGTCCACCGAAACATATCGGCCGAAAATAGCCCGATAGGAAAAATTTAGCCGATACAGGAGACTGTGTGTACTGCAGATGTGGGGGAGGGGGGAATGGCTGAGAAAGGCAAAAGAGGAGCAGTGTATACAGTGATTGGCTGTCACTATATGTCAGTGCTGGTTTTTAAATGTAATTACAGGCTTTGTTTTTCTTTGCTATAGTTCACAAAATTAGCTGTCACTTTCCCTGAGCTAAAAGAAACAAAGTTTCCTTTTAGCTTATTTCGCCAAGTTAAAAGAATCAAAATTTACTTTTAGTTTATTTCCAGAGTTAAAAGAAACAAAGTTTCCTTTTAGTTTATTTCCGAGTTAAAAGAAACAAAGTTTCCTTTTAGTTTATTTCCCAAGATAAAAGAAACAAAGTTTCCTTTTAGTTTATTTCCCCGAGTTAAAAGAATCAAAGTTTCCTTTTAGTTTATTTCCCTGAGTTAAAAGAAACAAAGTTTCTTTTTAGTTTATTTCCCCAAGTTAAAAGAATCAAAGTTTCCTTTTAGTTTATTTCCAGAGATAAAAGAAACAAAGTTTCCTTTTAATTTATTTCCCGTGATAAAAGAAACAAACTTTCCTTTAGCTCTGGGGAAAGTGACAGCTAATTCTGTGATCTATAGTGAAGAAAAAAAAAAAGCCAGCACTGACATATAGGGGTTTATTTACTAAAGCTGGAGAGTCCAAAATCAGACTCCCTTCTGCATAGAAACCAATCAGCTTCCAGGTTTCATTGCCAAAGCTTCATTGAACAAGCTGAGGTTAGAAGCTGATTGGTTTCTATGCAGAAGGGAGTCTGATTTTGGACTCTCCAGCTTTAGTAAATAAACCCCATAGTGACAGCCAGTGAGGGAGCCTCTCTTTATACACTGCCCCTCTCCTGCCTCCTCCTTGCACACACTGCCTCCACACCCCTCTCCCCTACAAAGAGGACCTGTCGCTCATATGCTATCACATAGGGGACTATTGGTCCTCTATGTGATAGCAATAAAATCATAAGTAAAAAAAAAATAAAAATAATATACATGAAAGTATAAAAAAAAAGAAATTGGAACCTCCCCACCCCCACATATGCAGACGTTTCAGTTTCGGTTTTCGGCCACATGCATTCTGAATTTTCGGTATCGGTTTTGGCACCAGAATTTTCATTTCGGTGCACCACTAATAATAATAAATAATGTTTTATTACATTTTTCAAACTTTTTTTAAACAATGATTTCTTTTTTCACTATTTTTTTTTACTTTTATCAGAGTAGTTCAGTGTCACCATACTGTACTACTCTGGGGGAGGGGGGGAGATCAGGGATTTTTTTTTTTACACTGTGCTTGCTGTTACAGCGATCATCACTGACAACAAATGTTTGAACTGTCATGAACAGATTTAATTCATAACAACTGTGCTTCTTCTAGTGATGCTGTGATTGTCCTACGGCTATCACATTATACAGAGTGCTGTGATTGGCCCAGGTACCATGTGATAGCTGTGCTCTAATCAGAACATCACTATAGGAATCACAGCTGTTATGAAATTCATTCATAACAGCTTTGTTGACATGCGATCACATGATCCCCCAGCTCCTCAATGCAGCCGGATACCAGGAACCATAATGTGTTGTGTCCTGTGGACACAAAGGTTGCGGGAGCAGCACACTGCATGTCCCGGGGGTGCGACGTTGCTCAGCCAGGCCGTGCCGCATGTCCACAGTAAAAGTACCATGGAGGGCAGCAAGTGGTTAAGGCCCCTTTCACACGTGAATTTCGAACAGGTCCGCCTGTCAGTTTTTCAGGTAGACCTGATCAGAAGACCTGTGGAGCTCTTTAGATAGGCAGATGTAAACATACTTGCGTCCACTTACACTTGCCTACCCCTGGCAACAGGTCCAAAAAAAAAAGAAAAAAAAGGAAAAGGATTGTGGCAGCTGCACCACGGTGGAAGACAGTACTTGTAGTTCATTCATTCACAGAACTCTGTGAATGAAGGACACTGCTGCGTGGGAGGAGCCCCGCACAATTACGCTGTTTTTCAAATGTGACAGCGGGTGTGGGGAGAGGAATGTCCATCCACTTTTACAGGGAAGTGGTGAAGGGGACTGCTCCAACGGTGTGACATGTAACATGTTACAAAAGGTGAACTTAGCCTTTACCAGGATTGGAAATTTGGATACCAGGCAATGCCCAGAGCCCACTACTGACCTCTGCTGTCAGAGTCAGGGAACTGCTTGTGATTGGTCTCCGGTAGGCTCCTTATGCAGGGCTCTTCTCCTCTCTCAATCTTTGATATCACCGGGGGGTGTTACACTGATCTTCCCTGTATAAAAAAAAAACAAAAACAGAATGGCTTTCAATAGGCAATCATTCTATCACAGAACAGGTAAGTCTCTCCCAAATCCCAGCTGTTTATGGCCAGAAGAAGGCAAGATAACCCCACTGTGGCAATTGCAGCCACCTTTGCTTCACGGGATGGGGGGGTGGAAATGGATTGGGGGGGGGAATTAATGGATTGGGGGGCGGGAGGCTTGATCTACACAAAGAGAACTGCCTTGGCCTGAAACATTTGTAACAGAACGACAGCACTGAAGTACAGGGCCCTGGAAGTGTGTTATAATCTATCCCTCAGTCCCTTGGAGCCCCCTAGGTACAAGGGGATTCCACTGATGTCTATCTCAAGATCACCTTCCAGGTCTCTAAGGGTATGAAATCATCAGCTTCCTTGCACAGAAGTTCCGTTGTACTCACCTCTGGGGCCTGAGGCAGGGGATACAGTCCACCAGCACTCTTGGAAGTGTCAAATGCCAAGAGGCTCATTGACGTTTCAACTGTGGAATCTAGAGAAGGCAGGAGACACAAGCCACCAAGGAGGTGCGTATTTGCTGTTTTTTCTCCAGGGAGCTGACTGTTTTATATCTTTAGAGGTCTGACAGGGTCTCTTTAAGCTCACCCTATCCTCATGGTACGTCCTGCCCCTGTCTTTCAGCAGTCGAATGTAAGGACTCCGGTGGGCAATAGAAGCTCTGCCATTTGACAGATGAACAGAGAAGGAGTTTAGTACCAGGGGGAGAAAGTGTACATGTTTTTAGACATCACCATCTGTATAATATCTAGGTAATCAATTTATAATTTAGTGAGCGCCCAAGACCAGCAACACTAAGGGGCTGATTTACTAAAACTGGTGCAGCTGTACATAGCAGTCGGGGCTGGGACAAGGGGTGGGCAGGAGGGTCAGCTGCCCCGGGCGCAGAGAAGCAAAGAATAGATGCAGGGTGGTACATCCATTCTATGGCATGTATTAACAGTGGGGGAGGGGGTCCCTCTGGATCCTTACCCTTGGCACTGGATAAACCTGTCCCGGTACTGATGGTAGCCAATCAGCTTCTAACTTCACCTTGTTTAATTCGGGTAATAAAAACTGGAAGCTGATTGGCTTCTATGCGGAGCTGCACCAGATTTTTCACTCTCCAGTTTTAGTAAATCAACCCCTAAGTGTTACAGGTTTTCTAAAAAAAGCAGGATCTGTTTGCCTTCAGACTCTCTTCATCTAACTGGAAATCCAGAGGCTGTGTCTAAACAGAAGAGGCGGGGAGTGGGAGGAGTCACCTGTGTGTACAAATTGTATGCTGTGTGTGACATTTCTCAACACAGCAGCAAAGGATACACAGGTCAACATTTTAGCCCCAAACATATATATATATATATATATATATATATATATATATATATATATATATATATATATATATATAAAAATAATATATACACTATATTGATGAAAGTATTGGCCCCGCCCTCCCAATCATGTGATTCAGGATTTCCACTCCCCTCCATGGCCACAGGTGTATAAAATCAAGTACCTAGGCATGCAGACTGCTCCTACAAACATTGGTGAAAGAATGGGTCGCTCTCAGGAGCTCAGTGACTCCAAGCGTGGTCCCGTGATAGGTGACCACCTGTGCAATAAGTCCATCCGTGACATTTCCTGGCTACTAAATATTCCACGCTCAACTGTTAGTGGGATTATAACAAAGTGGAAGCAACTGGGAACAACAGCCACTCAGCCACCAAGTGGTAGGCCATGTCACATGATAGAGCGGGGTCAGCGCATGCTGAAGCGCACAGTGCGCAGAAGTCACCAACTGTCTGCAGAGTCAATAGCTAAAGACCTCCAAACTTGGTGTGGCCTTCAGATTAGCACAACAACAGTGCGTAGAGAGCTTCATGGAATAAGTTCCCATGGCTGAGCAGCTGCATCCAAGCCTTACATCACCAAGTGCAATGCAAAGGGTCGGATGCCGTGGTGTAAAGCACGCCGCCACTGGACTCTACAGCAGTGGAGACGTTTTCTCTGGAGTGACCAATCACGCTTCTCTGTCTGGCAACCTGATGGGCGTGACTGGGTTTGGTGGTTGCCAGGAGAATGGTACTTGCCTGACTGCATTGTGCCAAGTGTAAAGTTTGGTGAAGGGGGGGTTATAGTGTGGGGTTGTTTTCCAGGGGTTGGGCTTGGCCCCCTAGTTCCAGTGAAGGGAACTCTTAAGGCGTCAGCATACCAAGACATTTTGTACAATTTCATGCTCCCAACTTTGTGGGAAGAGTTTGGGGATGGCCCCTTCCTGTTCCAACATGACTGCGCACCAATGCACAAAGCAAGGTCCATAAAGACATGGAGGAGCCAGTTTGGGGTGGAGGAACTTGACTGGCCTGCACAGAGTCCCGACCTCAACCCCATAGAACACCTTTGGGATGAATTAGAGCGGAGACTGCGAGCCAGGCCTCCTCCCCCGACATCAGTGCCTGACCTGACAAATGTGCTTCTGGAAGAATGGTCCAACCTTCCCATAGACACCCTCCTAAACCTTGTGGACGGCCTTCCCAGAAGAGCTGAATCTGTTATAGATGCAGAGGGCGGGGCCAACTCAATATTGAACCCTACGGACTAAGACTGGGGGGCCATTAAAGGTCATATGTGTGGAAAGGCAGGCCGACCAATACTGCGGGCAATATAGTGTGTGTGTGTATGTGTATGTATATATATATATATATATATATATATAAATATATATGAGACAATAGCATTGTCAGTTTGTAAATGCAGTGACAGGGGGAGAGCCAGTTTTGGCAGTGAAAGGGTGGCCTTTGCTTACAAATGGGAGGAGTCTGCAGTCATTCAGCGCTCCTGATGATGTGTGTCCAGGCCTGTCTGGCCCTACTGAACGCTAACCAGAATTGAATGCCATTAGGACAGCATCTAGGATGTGAGACTGGGCTTCAACAGGCGGAAAGTCTGCCTGCACTAAACTGCATGACCAGCAGCCAGGCGTCAGCAACCTTACTTTTCTAATTTTGCACTGGAACTTTAGTAAGAAAATGAAGTCAGAAATCACTTTGGACTGGCCCTTTCTGAAGGTATAGCTATGTAAATTATTTTTTTAAAAAAGGGCCTATACTGTTTAAAATTCAGTAAGACGCGGTCTCATCCTGCTCTGCACAGCCTCAGTTGTTCTGTATTCTACGCACTGTGCCGATAATCAGTCACTAAAGGCTGATCTGCTGACAGCCTAAAGATTGCTGCTGAGGGAGGAAAAAAAAACAGGAATGACACAGGTTTTGCCATAGAGAGACAGATTAAAGTGAGAGGAAAAAATAAGCAGGTGCGGTGACAGGTCAAACTCTGCTGCCTGGGAGAAACAAAAAAGTTAAAGTGTTACTAAACCCACAACAGTACAATCAGTCTGTAGATGCAGTAAAGCATGCTTGTTATACTCACTGTGGAACCTAAGGGGTTAATCCTCTGCATTGAGTAAAAAACTGTTTGATCATGTCTTCTTTGATCCTCCCCTTCTTCTACTGTCCTCAATCCATCTGCTGATGGAGCTCAAGGAGTCACTCTGCACATGCTTAGTTTAGTGTGTATTGCTAGAGAGGTTTTTTTGTCTGTGGGAGGGTGCATTTGATCAGCACAGGGCCAATCAGCAAAATACAGACAGAGGGTCAGGGGTCCTGCAGCCTGGGTTTAGTAACACTTTAAACTTACAAGAATAGTATCTTATCGTATCTCTCTGAAACTCTCTCCTTGGCAGTATGAACTTTAGAACTGAAAAGCTTCTGCAGCCTTCCTCCTAGCTGAGCCAAGACATACAATCAAGGCTTGAAATGTACATACAGTAATTTAATTGAAGAAAGTGGCATATAGTTTTTGAGACCAAACAGAGAGGCACAGTTTTCGGTAAGGAAGTGACTGCTCTGGGCTTCAACAAAATGGCAGCCTCTAGCATGAAGAAACAGGAGAAACGCTGGAGGCAATTTACAGCACACACTAACTTTGGTAGCAGAATGACTGATGTGGAATGTATGCTCCTTGCTAAAGAACATTAATTGTTATCACACTGTTATGGGTAACATTCTGCTTTAAGCATTAAAGTGGTTATAAACTCTCATATATACCCAGTGAAGTGACTGGCCTCTGGTAATACAGGGATTAAACAACACCTCCTACATAAGTTGTACCTGTTTATCTGCAGTATTCTCTTCTCTACATCCACTCAAACTCCAAAGTTTATAAAGCTTGCCTGAGCTTCCAGAAAGCAGGGGGCAGGGAGCTGAAGCTATTACACACTGCAGAGCTCAGTGAGGAGAGTTCTGAGAGCTGGTCGGAGGGAAGGGACACCCCCCACCACCCCTCATACAGCTCAGAGGGACAGAGCTGAGGCTGTCAATCACAGGCTGTGTGCTCCCCGTCACCATTTTTCTCTTGGTATCAGAAAAACTTGTCAGAAGTGATTCATACTTAGGATGAGGATCGAGGCAGCAATAACACTCTGGATTGAGTGGAACGCACAGTTAACCCTTTGAACGCACAGCACAGCTATGCAAAGCAGTGTGCTTACAGTGAAGCACAAACGCAGCACACATTGTGAAACGGCACACAGCACACAGTTAACCCTTTGATCACCCCTCACATTAATCCCTTCCTGCACAGTACCATTAATACAGTGTCAGTGCCGTTTTTTTTTAGCACAGATCACTGGATTGGAGTTACTGGGGATGTCAGTGACACCAAGTTAGTTCCCCTCAGTGTCAGAATGCCCACTGCAGTCCGGCTAAAAGCCACTGATTGCCGCCATTACTAGCAGGGAAAACAAAAATCCCAGAATCTATACCACCATTTGTAAACGCTATAACTTTCACGTAAACCAATTAATTTTCATGTATTGGGATTTTTTTTTTTAGCAAACACATGGAGCAGAATACATTTTGATCTAAATTTATGACGAAATTAGATTTTTTTACAATTTTTTTACTGGACCTGTATAATAGCAAAAAGTCCAAAATATTGTTTTTTTTCTCAAAATTGTCAGTCAAAATAAAAACCGCACAAGCGATCAAATACCACCGAAAGAAAGCTCAGTTCGTGGGAAAAAAAAGATGTAAATTTAATTTGGGTACGGCATTGCATGACCGTGCAACTGTCAGTTAAAGTAACGCAGTGCCGTAACGCAAAAAATTACCTGGTTGGGAAGGGGGGGGGAAATCCTCAGGAGGGCGGGGGGTTTAAGGAACTGGGAAATATGGAGGTACAGTGTCTGTCTTTGGGAAACATCAAACAAAATGTGAAGATCTGGGTGGGACATTTTGACCTATAACATGTGACTACTTTACCTACAGCCATGAGGTTCCAGTAATTGTCCATCGTCACCTTCTTATAAAGCTTCCTCTCTTTGTCATTTAAACACGCCCACTCCTCTTCCGTGAAATAAACCGCTATGTCATCAAAGTGTGGGTGTTCCTAAGGAGAGACCAGATTACTGGGAGACTCTTGTCTAAGATTGCCCAAAGAGAAAAAAAAAAATCTTTCACATTCATGGACTACATCTTATTTATTCTAAAGGGCATGACTTCATTTTTCAGAGCCTATAAATATTACTATGTGTGGTCACTGCTCCGCCCCTGTGCCCCCTATAGATATCTTCAATTTCCAAGACCACAGCTTGGTGGTCTATGAATTTTGCACATTCTGAGGATGGAAAAAACAAGGGATGCGCAGTTATATCGTCCGCAGAAAATAGGGTGATCGCCATTTTGCTGATAAAAAAAAAAAGTGCCGAAAATGGCAAACTGCATCCTCTACCCACATGGAAGAAAAATATATATGAATTATATTTGAAAAATATTCTTCCCAAATATATTGACATATATGTGAAATGCTACAAGTTTGGCCACATTCAACATATTTCAATAAATATATATAGAGAGAGAGAGAGAGAGAGAGAGAGAGAGAGAGAGAGAGAGAGCGAGCGTTTTTATATATTACAAAATACATGAAAAATATTTGTAAAAATATATATATTTTTTTAATATATTCTTCAGATTTTTTTTTAACATATAAAAAAGTCATTTTAACATATATTTTTACATATATTTGTAAATGCATTCCAAAGTTTTTTTTAAAGACATACAATATATTTGAAATGTATTTTAAAAAATATTCTTTGTATATTTTGTAAGACGCATTTCAACATGCAGTATATATATATACAGTTGCAAGAAAAAGTATGTGAACCCCTTGGGATTACATGGAGTTTTGCATGAATTGGGCATAAAATGTGCTCTGAATGTCATCTAAGTCACAACCATAGAAGAACACAGTCTGCTGAACATAATACTACACAAACATTAGATGTTGCCATGGTTTAATTGCACATAACATGTAAACATTCACAGTGCAGGGAGGAATAAGTATGTGAGGCCCTAGCTTAATGACTTCTCCCAGAGCTAATTGCAGCCAGGAGTGAGCCAACCTTGACTCCAATCAGTGTGATGATATTGGATGTGTTGCTGACAGCTGTCCTGCCCTTAAAAAACACACACCTGTTTTGGGTTTACTGGTTTCAAGAAGCACTGTCTGATGTGAACCATGCCTCGCAGAAAAGAGCTCTCAGAAGACCTACCATCAAGAATTGTTGACTTGCATGAAGCTGTAAAGGGTTACAAAAGTATCTCCAAAAGCCTTGATGTTCATGTGTCCACGGTAAGACAGACTGTCTACAAATGGAGAAGGTTTAGCACTGTTGCTACTCTCCCTAGGCGTGGTCGTCCTGTAAAAATGACTGCAAGAGCACAGCGCAGAATGCTGCATGAGGTAAAGAAGAATCCCAGAGTGTCAGCTAAAGACCTACAGAAATCTCTGGCACATGCTAACATTTTTGTTGACACATCTACAATAAGGAAAACATTAAACAAGAATGGAGTACATGGGAGGACACCACGGAGGAAGCCGTTGCTGTCCAAAAAGAATATTGCAGCACGTTTGAAGTTTGCAAAAGAGCACCTGGATGTTCCACAGCACTACTGGCAAAATATACTGTGGACAGATGAAACCAAGATTGAGTTGTTTGGGAAGAACACACAACACTATGTGTGGAGAAAAAAAGGCGCAGCACACCGACATCAAAACCTCATCCCCACTGTGAAACATGGCGGAGGGAGCATCATGGTTTGGGGCTGCTTTGCTGCCTCAGGGCCTGGACGGATTGTTGTCATTGGGAAAATGAATTCCAGAGTTTATCAGGACATTTTGCAGGAAAACGTACGACCATCTGTCCGCCAACTGAAGCTCCGCAGAGGATGGGGGATGCAACAGGACAATGACCCAAAGCATACAAGTAATTCAACAAAACAATGGCTGCAACAGCACAGAATACGCCTTCTGGAGTGGCCCAGTCAGAGTCCTGACCTCAACCCGATTGAAATGCTGTGGCATGACCTTAAGAGAGCGATTCACACCAGACATCCCAAGAATATTGCTACACTGAAACAGTTTTGTGAAGAGGAGTGGTCCAAAATGACTCCAGATCGTTGTGCAGGTCTGATCTGCAACTACAGGAAATGTTTGGTTGAGGTTATTGCTGCCAAAGGAGGGTCAACCAGTTATTAAGTCCAAAGGTTCACATACTTTTTCCTCCCTGCACTGTGAATGTTTACATGTTATGTGCAATTAAACCATGGCAACATCTAATGTTTGTGTAGTATTATGTTCAGCAGACTGTGTTCTTCTATTGTTGTGACTTAGATGACGTTCAGAGCACATTTTATGCCCAATTTATGCAAAACTCCACGTAATCCCAAGGGGTTCACATACTTTTTTCTTGCAACTGTATATATATATATATATATATATATATATATATATATATATATATATTGAGAGAGAGAGATACACTGCATGTTGAAATGCGTATATATATATATATATATATATATATATATATATATATATTGAAATATATTCTGAAGTATATTGAATACGGCCAAAATTGTAGCATTTCAAATATGTCAATATATTTGGGAAGAATATTTCAAATATATTTTTCTTTCCTGTGGGTAAGTTTCAATGCAAAATCGTGTCCCATTGACTTCAATACAAGAAACACCCCCTAGTGACTTCAAGGCAAAAACACATCCCCTAGACTTCAATGCAAAATTGCATCCCATAGATCTCAATGCAAAAAATTCCCCTAGTGACTTACCGTATTTTTTGCTACATAAGACGCACTTTTTTTCCCTCCAAAAAGGGGGGAAAATGTCTGTGTGTCTTATGGAGCGAATATGGAGCGGCCGGTCCGGTATTTCCACTACCGCCGTGTCAGAATACCGGGCCGGCTGCTCAGCTCTGCAGCAGGACGTTACCTGTTCCTCGGTCCAGTGCTGTGCAGTCTTCTTTAGTGTGGGCTCTCGGCTTGACAGTCGGGTACCCAGTGCGCATGCGCGAGAAGCGCTGCACTTTGTGAATGGTATGGCGTCTTCTGGGACACATGGCAGGTCCCAGAAGATGCAGGACCAATCACAAAGTGCAGCGCTTCTCGTGAAAGCACTGGGCACCCGGCTGTCAGCTCCGCGGAAGTGGGAGCGGGTACCTGTCAAATTCAGGTACCCGCTCCCCCTCCCTCCCCAAAGGTCAGCAGTCTCTGGTCACCTCCTCTACTATGTCCCCAGTCTCTGGTCATCTCCTGTACTATGTTCGCAGTCTCTGGTCATCTCCTGTACTGTGTCCGCAGTCTCTGGTCATCTCCTGTACTATGTCCGCAGTCTCTGGTCATCCCCTGTACTGTCCGCAGTCCCTGGTCATCTTCTGTACTGTGTCCGCAGTCTCTGGTCATCTCCTGTACTGTGTCCGCAGTCTCTGGTCATCTCCTGTACTGTGTCCGCAGTCTCTGGTCATCTCCTGTACTGTGTCCGCAGTCTCTGGTCATCTCCTGTACTGTGTCCGCAGTCTCTGGTCATCTCCTGTACTGTGTCCGCAGTCTCTGGTCATCTCCTGTACTGTGTCCGCAGTCTCTGGTCAACTCCTGTACTGTGTCTGCTGTCTCTGGTCATCTCCTGTACTATGTCCGCAGTCTCTGGTCATCTCCTGTACTGTGTCCGCAGTCTCTGGTCATCTCCTATACTATGTCTGCAGTCCATTGGTTCAGAATATTTTTTTTCTTGTTTTCTGCCTCTAAAACCTAGGTGCGTCTTATGGTCAGATGCGTCTTATGGAGCGAAAAAAATACGGTAAATGCGAGATCACATCCCATAGGCTTCAATGCAAAATTGTGTCTAATAGACTTCAACGCAAAAGCACCTCCTATAGACTTCAATGCAAAAACGCCCCTTAGTGACTTTAATGCAAACTCACATCCCATAGACTTCAATGCAAAAATGCCTCCTAGGGACTTCAATGCAAAATCACGTCCCACAGACATCAATGCAAAAATCGCATCCTATATACTTCAATGCAAAATCATGTCCCATAGACTTCACTGTAAAATCACGTCTCATTGGCATCAATGCAAAAACGCTAGGGGGTAAATTCAATGAAAAAACGCCAGCTACATTAATTAAAAGAGAAGTGTGGACTTTTTTTCCCCCAATTATGCTTACCTAGCTGGATCAATCCGAAGCTGCATCTGTCCCCTGCCGGATCTAAGTGTGAGAGCTCAAAGATCACATGACCGCTGAGTTCTTACTGCCGCTCTGAGCAGAGAGCGGGGATTGTCAGTCACCGCTCTCTGCTCTGCTCCTCCCCCCACGCTCACTGGAGCGTTGGGCTGTGGAGGGAGTGGCTGGCTCAGGCTCTCAGCCGCTCACTGAAAGGCTGAGCCATGTTCCGTTCCAGACTCTGGGGTGGATCTTTGAAGTCGGAATCTTTCCCCAGCCTGGACCAGTTGAATGACGTCAGCTGACAGTGGGCTTCATTTCGCTGTCAGTTGAAAACGGGTCACAGGAGTGTAGATCAAACTGAACCCCTGTGATCCACAGAAGTGGATTTTAAGTTTAATTTTTTTTTTTCACTTAGGTAGACTCTCTGGCACAGAAGACACCCCAACTATCCGCTTGATTTAAAAGTTCAGAATGGAATTTTTATAAAAATTGAGATGTTCATATTTTCCTGCCATCGTTCTATTAGTTGAGAAAGGCGTACTTACAACCTCATAAGGTCTATGTATCCACGTCTCAACTCCTTCTATGTTTAATGCTTGATTACTGTCCCTGTGAAAAGTTCCAGAAAAAAACAAGCTGACGTTCTCCGGTTCAGGGTCTTGGACAATTTCGCCTTTGTAGGGACGAAAGTCTCTGCACTTCCGAAAACCAATTTGTCCAGGCCAGAAGGCTTCCTCAGACTGTGTGGAACATTCCTGGTAGGTCGGCATTTCAGGCTCCCCATAAATGTTCTCAGGAAACTGAACTGCTTGACTTTTATTCTTTATTGCGATTTTTGCTTGCGTCCCAATGCTTTTGCTCATCTTGGTTGTGTTAGTGCAAGCATGCTTCATTTTTATGAGACTGAAGGCTGAGCATGCAACGTCGGCGTGCTTGGAGGTGTCTTGCTGACATTTAGATCCCTTCTTTGTTAAGGAATGTTTGTTCTTTTTGGTTAAAGCATTTTCTTGGGGAGCCAAAGTGTGGAGTCCACCAGCGTGCCCCAAAGATGGTTGGAATAGGCTTGACTGATGTGCTTGGGTACCAAAATGAATCAAATTGGTAGGTTCTGCATAACGTCCGCTTGCTTGGATTGTGAGCGGCTTGAAGTCAACCAACTCTTCAAGTCCATGATCTGTTTTCATTTTGGCACGGGCCTGGGAAATTTCAGTTTGTATTGGAACAGAACTTGTAACTTGGGCAAAGGAAGATTGAAGCCTACCAATATCGGCAATGTTGGGCTGAAATCTTCCAATCTGGCTTAAGAGTGGCATTGCTCCACTGTTCTGAACTACAGAGGGATAAAATGTTTTTTCTGTTCTGGGCTGAATTTTGCTGGTCTTAGTCTTTACTATTCCCAGGCAACTTGTAGGACCCACCTGGATTGAAGAAGTCACATGGCCACCAACCTGGACAGTTCTTGGTTGAGCTCTACCAGCCTGGGTTAAGGGAGGCACAACACCACCAGTCTGGACAGTCCTTGGTTGAGCTCTACCAGCCTGGGTTAAGAGAGGCATAGCACCACCAGTCTGGATAGTCCTTGGTTGAGCTCTACCAGCCTGGGTTAAGAGAGGCATAGCACCACCAGTCTGGATAGTCCTTGGTTGAGCTCTACCAGCCTGGGTTAAGGGAGGCATAGCACCACCAGTCTGAATAGTCCTTGGTTGAGCTCTACCAGCCTGGGTTACGAAAGGCATAGCACCACCAGTCTGGATAGTTCTTGGTTGAGCTCTACCAGCTGGGGTTAAGGTAGGCATAGCACCACCAGTCTGGGTTATAACTGACTGAACTTTATCCTCAACTACAGACTCAATCTTAATCTTGGAAGCACGAATCTGCAAAGTTGCAGATTGTCCTGGAGCTGTCTGTCCACCTTGAACCAATGAAGACTGCAGCCCATCAACGTGGACTCTGGTGTCAAGTGGACTAATGGACTGAGGTGGTTTAAACCTTAGCTCATTGGCCTGGACTGTTTGTGGCTGAACACCATGGCCAAGCTGTATAGTAGCAGGCTGAAGACCACGCATCTGGACAATGTTGGGCTGAACTCTTCCACTTTGGTTAAGGAGAGGTTTACTTCCACTGATCTGACTGATAGCTGGTTGAACACCACCTACTTGAAGAAGCCCTTCCTGGGATATGCCAGTCTGTAATAAGGAAGCATCAGGTCCACCAACTGGTACCAAATTAAGTCCAAGACCCTGCAGTGGAGACATTGGTTCCCCTGTGGTCAATATCAGGAAAGACTGACCACCGACTTGCAAGATGGATGCTTGCTGCCCCGCTCCTAGAGGCAATGATGGATTGTTTATGGTTGATGAATGGTTAGTGCTTTGTGACTGAGATGCATTGTTTCCCTTACGTTGATCCATTGTTCATTTAATCTGTTGGAAATAAAATATTCCACTAATCAGTGTTTGGTAACCAGACCTTTTCTACAAACTTACCAGAGATCTCATTTACAGAAAGTAAAGCAAAAAGATCTAAAAGCCTCTGCCCACAGAAAGGGACAGCGTCTCTAAAAATAATTTTAAAAAAATAGTCAAAGCATCTAAACAAATTGGAGTTAATGATCTGTAGTGCCTTTTCTCTACCACATGACAAAACATATAACAATGGACGCTAACCAACATTCCTATCACGTACCTGGTGATGGAGGCCAATGAGAGAGAGGGCTTCCCTTGCGGCTAAGTTCCGGACTCCCCTGAGAGTGGGACAGCGGGAGAGTCAGGCCCAAAGTTGCACAGGTCGCCTGTAGGAGTGCTGGTTGGTAGTCCACTCAGAAGCACAGCTGGTGCACGGAGACAGGTCTGCAGACAGGAGGCGCCTGTGCGTGGTATGCAAGCCCTTCCAGGATTTAGATGTTTACTGGATAGTCGGTTTAAGCTAGGTACCAGGTGGGAATCAGAGCGGACGTAGTCAGATGGGGTAGCCCAGGTCATACACAGAGGAGTGAGAGAGAGAGTATCCGTAAGCCAAGCCGAAGTCAGATCAGGGGTAAAGCAGAATAGACAGGTCCAGGAGCAAGCCGAGTCGGTAACAGGAAATCACGGGTCAGAATCACAGAAAACAGGGCACAGGGAGCTAGAGATCATCCAGCAACTTGAGGAAGTGATGAGCCTCCTTATAAAGGCAGTTTGGCACGAGACTGAGGCTGATGTGTCCTTTTGTGGCCATGCAGAGTACTGGCAGAAATGCCAGATCTTCCAGAACCTCTGCCGCGGACAGGACTGTGACAATTCCATTGCAGAACTAGGAGCGCACAGCTGTGCGTGCTCCTAGGTTTACAGTGCTCAGAATGCCCCCCCCCCCCCCAAGGTTGGTCTTGGGCTCCCCATTGGGACAGCTGCCCACAGAGGAGATGGAGGAACATCCATTCCCTGATCTCCTCTGTGATGAATGATCACAGAAGCAAGATTTCACCAGTTTCAGTGCTGTCATTCCCTGGCTGTTAGGCCTCATTTACACATGCTTTAACCTCTTCCTGTCCAGCCCATGCCAATAAATGCACTGACGAAAAAAACTGACAAAGCGGGTGGATGTTTCTAAACGCCCCCCCGCATACATTGCCTGTGCGCGCTCCCTGGGAGAGCACGGCACCGTGATCGGTGCCCGCTGTGTCCTCCCATACAGATCTGTGCGAGGTCCCGATCATCTGATCACTGATTGGCCAATCACTGATCACATAAATAGTAGTAAACAAGATGTCACTTCCTGACATCATTGCTTACTACGTGAAATCTGTGAATGATCACAAAGGTCACATGGTACAAGGCTATTCACAACAGCCTTGTACCATGTGACAAGCTATGACCAATCACAGCTCACACAGTATTTCTCAATGGCTGCAGGAATGCAGCCAGAGAAGGAGAAATGATTGCTTTTACAGCCTTTATGGGTATAAAAGCAATCAGTGTAAAAAAAGAAAAACAAAATCTTCATCACCCCCCACAAGTAGTACAGTGTCACTATGGTGACACTGTACTGCTAGAGTGACAGAGTGTTAAAAAAAAAAAACAAAAAAACATAATATAAAAAAAAATTGTGAAAAATAATAATAATAATAATTTTTGGTTATAAACTAATTTGGTTTTTTTTTTTTTCTTTCTAAAAAGATAAATACATTTTGGCCAATATTTATGAAGAGATTATTTATTTGCAAAATTTTATAAGAAAAACACTTTTTTTTCACAATGTTTGGACTTTTTCATTTATATAGCAAAAAAATAAAAAAATCCCAGTGGTGAATAAATACCACCAAAATAAAGTTTTATCTGTCTCACAAAAATGCTAAAACATTCATATGGGTACAGTGTTGCATGACTGCGCAATTGTCATTCAAAGTGTGATAGCGCTGAAAGCTGAAAATTGACCTGGGCAGGAAGGGGGTGAAAGTGTCCGGACTTGAAGTGGTTAAAATGTGGCATTGGACACGCTTTTTTAAAGCACTCTGAATGCCAATCTAAGCCCGTGACTAAATAAAATGCTAAGCTTACAGTTCTGTTTACACGATGCGTTCGCTTTGCTTTAAAATTATACTTCATGTCGCTTTCTTGGTACTTCAAAGAGTCTCCAAAGCCCCCATAGAAGTCTATGACAACGCTCGCTTACAGCACCTGCAACTTTTGAGAGGCTTTATTCAGCTTTAGCTTCGCTTTGTTTTGGAGGTATTGCAGGTATGAGATATCCCAGGATGCACTGGGAAGCAAACCTGAAAAGCACTCATCAGCAGTCACTTCTGGTTCATGTGTCAAATTACATCACAAACCTAATATCTAAGTACCATCCAACACGCACAGTCCGCTCCTCACAAGACCTCCTTCTCTCTAGTTCCCTGGTCTCCTTCTCCCATGCCCGCATCCAGGATTTCTCCAGGGTGTCACCCATCCTCTGGAACTCCCTGCCCCAACCCATCACACTATCACCTACTCTCCTCTCTTTTAGGCGCACCCTGAAAACCCACTTCTTTAGGGAAGCGTACCCCACCCCTTGCTAATTTCCAACCTCCTCCACTCTTCCTACCACTCCATCCCCCACAGCTATCTCCTCCTGTACCACTATCCCTTCCCTCCTAGATTGTAAGCTCGAAAGAGTAGGGCCCTCGAACCACTCGAGTATCGCATTGTATTGGTATTGTACTGTCGCATGTTCTGTCTCCCTTTACAATGTACAGCGCTGAGCGAACTGTTGGTGCTTTATAAATACTGTATAATAATAATAATAATGTGTATATATTCTGGAAGTGTCTGGTGCAGACGTCATTTCTGGTGTGCAGAGTGGAGCAGCAGGAAGGTGAGCGGGGTCTGAACTACAATAGAGCAACTAGCAGAAGGAACACGTGGTGTGCAACATGGGAACGCTATAGCGGAAGGTGAGCGGGGACTGGAGGAGAGGACTGAGCAGTGCAGGATCAGCAGAGCTGGGGGACCACAACAGGAGAAACTAGCAATGTCAAAGATGGTATGCAATGTGGTAGCTATATAGCGGGAGATGAGCAAAGACCAGAGCGGAAGGAGGATTAGCTGAGCTGGGGTTACTACTGAGTGGGGGACCAGTAGAGCTGGTGGTTATAACTGAGTGGAGGATCAGCAGAGATGGGGGTTACTACTGAGTGGGGGATCAGCAGAGATGGGGTTAACTACTGAGTGGGAGATCAGCAGAGCTGGGGGTGACTACTCAGCAGGGGATCAGCGAAGGTGGGGGTTTTACTGAGTGGTGAATAAGCAGAGCTGGGGT